GAACTTTTATAAGTGGTGCGTTTTCAATAATGTTCAGTATATAACAATACAATCTATTAATATAATAATACTATCTATTAATATGAGGAAAGTATGTCCTTGATATATTTCCAAGGATCACCTTTGATTTTTGTGACAGGTGTTTGATGGGTTTAGATACAGCGACTGCCCAGAAGCCGGAAGACCGGGGAGTCGATAGCATTCCCCAACACTGAAGATGGTGAGTGTTTTCATCCCTGCACCAGGACAGACCCAGCAGAATGTCACACTCTATAGGTTTTCTTCCAATCAAGTACAAAAGAAGAATGGACAAGTCTTCAGGTATTAAAGTGGGGCTAACAGTTAATACTAGCGATTCGTGTTCTTTGCAGATTGTCATATCATGAGAGTAACGATCCATTCATCGCATGTATGTTTGTTATTATAAGCACTGGGGTGTCAAGGTCAAGGTCAGAATAACTGTTTCCGAATGTATGATTAGCTCATCTTTGTCATCCTATTTAGCGGGATGTGATAAAGACCACATATTTAGCACAGTAACATGACACTAATATTTCATGTACTCCAACACGTTGTGTTGAACATATTACACATGTAACAACCACATTGTTTTATACGTAAAGCTAGTTCTGAATTGTTGATACATTATTTGACGGCATCAAATTAATTAACTTACCTAAAACATCGAACAAACAATGTTCATGTGAAGTAGGTTTGCATATTTGCGTCTCAGATGTATTTCACATTATTACAAACATATATTCACCTTCAACTAGGCCTGTTTTTGCCTCACCTTTTACACATGAAACTGTATCAAATAGTGACTAACTGAAACGCATCAAATACTACATATCATCATATTGCACAGGCTCATCAAATAGTGCGTGTGTCTACCCAACAGAGACTTCACTACACACATCAAAAAGTGCGTGTGTCTACCCAACAGAGACTTCACTTACACACATCAAATAGTGCGTGTGTCTACCCAACAGAGACTTCACTGACACTTATCAAATAGTGCGTGTGTCTACCCAACAGAGACTTCACTGACACTTATCAAATAGTGCGTGTGTCTACCCAACAGAGACTTCACTGCGTCAAATAGTGTGTCTACCCAACAGAGACTTCACTACACACATCAAATAGTGCGTGTGTCTACCCAACAGAGACTTCACTTACACATCAAATAGTGCGTGTGTCTACCCAACAGAGACTTCACTGTGTCTACACACATCAAATAGTGCGTGTGTCTACCCAACAGAGACTTCACTGACACTGACATCAAATAGTGCGTGTGTCTACCCAACAGAGACTTCACTGACACACATCAAATAGTGCGTGTGTCTACCCAACAGAGACTTCACTGACACACATCAAATAGTGCGTGTGTCTACCCAACAGAGACTTCACTGACACACATCAAATAGTGCGTGTGTCTACCCAACAGAGACTTCACTGACACACATCAAATAGTGCGTGTGTCTACCCAACAGAGACTTCACTGACACACATCAAATAGTGCGTGTGTCTACCCAACCCAACAGAGACTTCACTGTGTCACCAACATCAAATCAGTGCGTGTGTCTCACCAACAGAGACTTCACTGACACACATCAAATAGTGCGTGTGTCTACCCAACAGAGACTTCACTACACACATCAAATAGTGCGTGTGTCTACCCAACAGAGACTTCACTGACACATCAAATAGTGCGTGTGTCTACCCAACAGAGACTTCACTGACACACATCAAATAGTGCGTGTGTCTACCCAACAGAGACTTCACTGACACACATCAAATAGTGCGTGTGTCTACCCAACAGAGACTTCACTGACACTTATCAAATAGTGCGTGTGTCTACCCAACAGAGACTTCACTACACACATCAAATAGTGCGTGTGTCTACCCAACAGAGACTTCACTACACACATCAAATAGTGCGTGTGTCTACGCAACAGAGACTTCACTTACACACATCAAATAGTGCGTGTGTCTACCCAACAGAGACTTCACTGACACACATCAAGTAGTCCATGTGTCTGCCCAACGGAGACTAAACTTACACCCAGCAAATAGTGAATATGCGTATACTTCACACATTAAACTGACTCACAGCACCTGATATACACTGGAAACACCAGCTAGTTAGATCGCGGCATAGAAAAGGACGTATTTGTCAGTACTTGAGTGCTGGCCAGTTGGGGTGTTCCCGCTGATATAGATGTGTGAAGTGTGGAGGTATTCGGGGCCAGCAGGTTGCCCTGCGGTTTTCCCTGGCTGTGACCTCAAAGGAATGAAGTGTAAATGACAAATGTTAAGTCATAAGCCTCAACTTTGAAAGACAAATTCCCACATCCGTTACATCAAGAGTCTACAAGGAGTTCCCACAATTGTATGCGTGCGCAGCTGATCGACCTGTCGAGGATAACTTCATCTAATGGGACACTCTTGGGTAGAAGATCAACAGTAATAAGTGAATTATACAATATACGGTCATGATAAATCGGGTGTGTTGAAGCGAGAGCAAACAGGAACTGTGGCATGTGTAGGAGAGTGGGGTGTGACATGGGGGCTGTAGACACCAGGAGATGTGTAGGCCAGCCTTCAACCGTTCACTGGTAATAGACTTATTACTGTTCAAGCACCTGATCGGAGGTTAATGGATTAGTGAATTTGATATTTATGTGGCAGTGTACGGTGAGACATACAGACAGGAGTTTGGTATAAATCCCGCTTTAAACAGTGTTTCAGTTACATCACGGCGTCTCAGCTCCATGTGAGAGGAAACACCCAACTGATGCATCACTTTGGTAAACCTTGAGTACGGCGCTGGTGCAGACAAACACACATAATCAAGAGGAGGTGGGGACTCGGAAACAATAAAACCACAGGATTTGGGCAATACCAGGGGACGCAACTCTGCACAGAATTCTGCGAAGGGTGAATGAGTGAGTGAAGTGGCGAGTAAGTGACTGTGTCTGTGTGAGTGAGTGAAGTGGCGAGTAAGTGACTGTGTCTGTGTGAGTAAGTGAAGTGGCGAGTAAGTGACTGTGTCTGTGTGAGTGAGGTAGTGAAGTCTGACTGAGTTTGGTTTTACGCCGCTGTTAGCAATATTCCAGCAACATCACGGCGGGTGGTAGTGAAGTGGCGAGTAAGTGACTGTCTGTGGATGTGTGAGTGAGGTAGCGCCAGTGTAAGGGAAGTCGTCAGTAAGTGATAAGTATGTTAAAGGGTTAGTGAGTCAGTTGGTATGCTCTTTTGTGACTGATTTGGTTGATAAATAAATTTATAATATGGAAAGATGTGGGTAAGTGAGAAATTGTGGATTTAGGATACTTACTGTTGAAGAAACATTCTTAGCAGGAAAACAGAGTATATGTTTATTCTGCAATTGCATAGAGTCGAACCCGGACGAACGAACAGGCAGCGTTGTTTTAGCCCAGCAAGTTCCCAATTACTGGTACACTATGTGGGGAAGACGGACGTCTAGGCAATGCGAACCAGCAGGTAACGCCACAGGTGGAATAGTAAAATCAACGTACACCAAAGGAACAATAAACTCCAAATAGTGCGACTCCCACTAATCTACTTGTGGCGAGTTGTATATATGTACTTAGATGTACATGCAGCCCAGCTAAGCCCTTACTCGTTAGTTCTGTATGGGTTGTGTCATCGAAGCGCTTCTCTGAGCAGTGCTGCAATACGGTGCTGCTTTGTGGTCGGTCTGTCTATCATCGTTACTCACTGATTCAAAATACCAAAGTGGAGATGCATCGGTCCCGCCACATGTTTACTGTATGCAGCAACCCACTACAGGGCGATGTGGATCGTCCTCTTTGCCGGGGTCACTGCGGGCTTGAGTAAACCACTGCTTGTATTTTGTCATGTACTATACCAACCACCAAGTTGTAATATTACGGCTATTATCCCGTTCAGAGGTCTAAGAATACTGAAACGGCTGTAAAAATAGTTTGCTTTCTGCAGTTTTTAGCCCGACTTCTACCCGTATGACGTAGCCAGATATTCCAGCTATTGATGTGGGCATCCTTGGTGTTCCTTTTTTCTGGTGTGCCTACTACTGATGTGCGTATTACCTTGTGAGTATTTTCGATGTACCTGAACCTGATTTGTCGATTACACAAGGCTCAACAGCGACATGACACGTAGCTGACGAGACGCCATAATGGGACGACGACGACGGTGGAAAAATTAAAGAATGAATAAAGAAGAGCGGCAAACTGAGAACATATGATTCTTGGCAATGGTCCTGACGCAAGATGTTATCTAACGATGTTGTGCTATCGAGTTTGAGAGTGAAATAAAAGCTTGAAACGTGGCCACAAAATTGGGAAACATTCTCGGTTCGCGCTTGTGCCAACAACAACAGCCATGGCAACATCATCAGGTCTTATTGAATGAAATGTGCGCTTGTCAGCGTATGCCTTGTATACTTGAAATCCAATACAGAATATGAGCAAACGAGTGATGTATTCGAAGAACATTTGTCAGATACATTAACAGGTGGTAGGAGTATGTTTTGTGTGATGAAACCATTGTGTGAGAGCAGAGCTGCCTAAGTGTTGTAATGTGATCGTAAAGTGTGATGTGTGGAGCTGTCCGGGAGCAGCCATGGCCGGCCACATTCACACCACGGTATGGCCATCAGGGATGTTGAACCAGGTACAACCCTGCAAGGAGCTGCCATTGGCAGCATGATTTCTACACCTTCGCTCAACTTGGACCTACTGACGTCCTGTTGGTGTTGATGTTCATTTCTCCAAACAACGTTCACTTCCCAGATAGCATTCAGACGTTGGCCCAACGTTGGCAGTGGTTTTGCCAACATTGGGCCAACGTCCGAATGCTATCTGGGTTCTCTCTTGAACACTTGTACCACTGATGATTGAACATGAACTGTTTTCGTTAATAAAGCGTCAAAATACTAAAATGCTGATAAAAGTATTTTCAGAGTATTTAAAAGAAGAAATGTAACAACTTACTCTGCTCCGGACAGTGGTGTTACGAACAATCTGCGAATCCTCTTCACCCGCAAACATCAGTAAACTCCCAACACTGCTACAGTAAACTCCACCTGCACAGCATAATCCAGGTCAGAACTCCACACACCGCTGGTACAATCTGCATTGCAAAGAGAACGAGATCATAAATACATAAGGCGACGCGAGAAGACCGCTACTTGCGAGTAACACGCCCTGTGTCAGAGCTTCACTCAGAGGAACTCAATTCGAAAACTGTCGATCAAGATACTAAAAAGAGCCCAACGCTTGTCCCACAAGAACTGATGCCTGTTTGACAGAAGTCCGGGGGACCAGAGCTGATGAGCGCAATAGAAGGATTCTATACATAATATACACCGATATCTACCCGTGGTCAAGTATCTCGGACGTCTTGACTGGACCACTGTCAAGGATGTACTGCCACAGGGCCGGTATTACAGCAGAATTATCCGGTGTAGGTATTGAAATACACCGCATGGCAACACCCATCTGGTGCCTATACTCAAATAGATCTATCCTACTTGGGGTCAAAACGCTCATTGCAATATTTCCGGTAAGTCCAAAATTAACTCGCACCCCTCCCCTTCCCCCACATGAATCCCTGCCACTGAATGAAGCCATCCAATCTGATGCTTCACGATCGCGATCTTTAATGATATGCACATCTTAAAATAACCTTCCTGCTAATTTTCAGAATTAGAAACAAGGCTTCATTATCCGTCAAACGCATTCCCATCCACGCCCAGATCTACAAAGTCGTGTTCGTCTTGAAGTTAAACACAGAACCACGAGATGTTGTGTTATAACCTCTATATAGGTCTGTCATCAAATAAAGTTGAAATCGCAGAAATTAAATCGCGGCTCTCCACCAAATCTGCATTAATTCAACGTGCGAGGTGCCTCTCACTCGTGTCCAAAACGTTTCAATATTTAAAAAAGATTTTGTCTCTCACGATGATGTAACATTCAACCTTTGGTAAAGCATTTAAAAAACAATATGATGATGCTATTCGTAGTTATTTGGGAGCGTGTTTTATGCCAGTGCAAATAGAAATTGCATTCCATTACGAAGCAGATCGGTGTGTGCCGGGACAGCGCTATGTGCTGAGACTGCAGAGAAGAAGGATCAACAGCCAAGGGTGAAGTTTGCCGCCAATAAATTACGGAATAATTATCACACACAACTGTTTTCTACATTTAAACCGCTGAATCCAAAGATAAAAAATAATTCAGTCACAAAGATATAACATAATATGCACTTAACATTTTCATATAATATATATGTTATTAATTTCTTTACAAAGAGAGTATAATAAAGTGCCGATGAATTGCATCACCTACCTGATAAACCATACGCTGACCGGCTCGATTAAAGTTAACCCATAAAGTAAAACTCCCAAGATAGCAGCAAATCAAACGGTTTTCTCACTACAAATTCAACATTATCCTTCTGGGTCCAACAGAAAAGCAGCGATAGTGTGTGGCGCTTGCCTAGCCCGTGTAGCGCTAGCGGAGCCCTAAAGTGCAGAAAATCCCTCGACTTGAGGTGAGTCTCTCCAGGGTTATATGACGTCTGCCATTGTTGCATGCGCGAATCTCACTGTTCGCCACGAGACCGCCACATTTCCCCGTTAGGGGGCGTGGTAGAACTCTTCAGAAGAAAAGTTAGGCAGACGAATAACCATGGTGACTGTATGCTACTACCCGTCCTGCTGTCCCGTGCACGGACCGTGCGTACCGGCCATGTCAGTTTGGTCGTGCGCTACCATGAACTGGTGGTCCGCTCTCAGTTAGTATCGAGATATCTTCGTATGCATTTATCAACAGTAAGGTAGTGTTTTAAAGGGGCAGGAGACTGCAAGCAAGCAGTCGAGCGACGACGGGTTCAGAATGCGTCACAGAAGACCCAGCTGGTCTGAGGGTGACATTTCCAACGCCGCTGAGTGACACTAGGTACGCAGTGTGACCTACCAACATACTAGGGATGTTTATGAGTCCGTGCAATAAGTTTCAACGTGTTCCTTGCCATTGGATCCAAGCATCCCCCATACTTCTGACTAATGATATAATTACTGATATTTATTTATCATCGCCTTGAACATTACACTAAATGTATGTCTCCCACAAGTTTATGGAAATTTGGATATTTGGATACAACTTTTGGCCAGATTCGTCCTTAAAGGCCTTTGGGACGCGTTCTTTGGCTCATGATTTCGACACCCCGTCCCCAACACACCCCTTCTATTCATTCACTCACACAACTCAACGGACATTCATTGTGGTAATTAAAAACAGACGTTATTGGCGTTTGATGGAAAGTATGCGGGGTCTGTCTTCAAAACGTTGTGGGTCTATCGTACTAATCAGATATACTTTCATTATCAGTTTCCGTTTCCTTAATGAGAGATATACTATTAGCAACAGTCACGCCACAACAGTCACACAACACTTCCACACAACAGTCCCACAACACTTCCACACAACAGTCCCACAACACTTCCACACAACAGTCACACACTTCCACACAACAGTCACACAACACTTCCACACAACAGTCACACAACACTTCTACACAACAGTCACACAACAGTCACACAACACTTCCACACAACACTTCCGCACAACAGTAACACAACACTTCCACACAACAGTCGCACAACACTTCCTAACACGGTACACGGACCGGCAGTCTTTCATTCAGCCACCTGTAAAACCGAGACTGTTGTCACCGGACATGCCAGTTCTCCTGGTCACAGGGGGCGGTGGGGTAGCCTAGTGGTTAAAGCGTTGGCTCGTCACGCCGAAGACCCGGGCTCGAATCCCCACATGGGTAAAATGTGTGAAGCCCATTTCGGGTGTCCCCGCCATGATATTGCTGGAATATTGCTAAAAGCGGCGTAAAACCAAACTCAGTCAGACTTCACTACCTCACTCACACAGACACAGTCACTTACTCGCCACTTCACTACCTCACTCACACAGACACAGTCACTTACTCGCCACTTCACTCACTCACACAGACACAGTCACTTACTCGCCACTTCACTCACTCATTCACCCTTGGCAGAATTCTGTGCAGAGTTGCGTCCCCTGGTATTGCCCAAATTTTGTGGTTTTATTGTTTCCGAGTCCCCACCTCCCTGTCCTGGTCACATTTAACTGTTTTTCATCTGTATATTAAACCAATACAAATGGTGGGTATATGCACCGTGGCTGTGAATCTGTTTTGCACACATACACTTATACTATTATACTTACTGCACTTATACTCGTTTGTTGTTGTTTTTTGCGATATTGGCCATACACATCTCCAGACATATCAGACTTATGAAATAATGACCTTACTCAATGGTGGAATAGTGGCCATACACAGCTACTCCAGACATATCAGACTGATGAGATAATGACCTTACTCAATAGTGGGATAGTGGCCATACACAATTCACTCAAGATATATCTGACTCAAGACATATCTGACTGATGAGATAATGACCTTACTCAATGGTGGAATAGTGGCCATACACAGCTACTCCAGACATATCAGACTGATGAGATAATGACCTTACTCAATAGTGGGATAGTGGCCATACACAACTACTCCAGACATATCAGACTGATGAGATAATGACCTTACTCAATAGTGGGATAGTGGCCATACACTACTCCAGACATGTCGGATTGTGAGATAATGACCTTACTCAATGGTGGAATAGTGGCCATACACAGCTACTCCAGACATATCAGACTGATGAGATAATGACCTTACACAATAGTGGGATAGTGGCCATACACAACTACTCCAGACATATCAGACTGATGAGATAATGACCTTACTCAATGGTGGGATATTGGCCATACACCACTACTCCAGACATATCAGACTGATGAGATAATGACCTTACTCAATGGTGGGATATTGGCCATACACAACTACTCCAGACATATCTGACTGATGAGATAATGACCTTACTCAATAGTGGGATAATGGCCATACACATCTTCCAGACATATCTGACTGATGAGATAATGACCTTACTCAATGATGGGATAGTGGCCATACACAACTCCAGACATATCTGACTGATGAGATAATGACCTTACTCAATGGTGGGATATTGGCCATACACTACTCCAGACATATCTGACTGATGATATAATGACCTTACTCAATGGTGGGATAGTGGCCATACACTACTCCAGACATATCTGACTGATGAGATAATGACCTTACTCAATGGTGGGATAGTGGCCATACACAGCTACTCCAGACATATCTGACTGATGAGATACCTTACTCAATGACCTTACATCAATGAGTGGATAATGGCCATACACAACTCTTCAGATAATGACATAATCCATACACATCTTCAGACATATCTGACTGATGAGATAATGACCTTACTCAATGATGGGATAGTGGCCATACACAACTCCAGACATATCTGACTGATGAGATAATGACCTTACTCAATGGTGGGATATTGGCCATACACATACCACTCAGACATATCTGACTGATGATATAATGACCTTACTCAATGGTGGGATAGTGGCCATACACAACTCCAGAGATATCTCACTGATGAGATAATGACCTTACTCAATAGTGGGATAGTGACCATACACAACTCCAGACATATCTGACTGATGGGATAATGACCTTACTCAATGATGGGATATTGGCCATACACAACCACTCCAGACATGTCGGAATGATGAGATAATGACCTTACTCAATGGTGGGATATTGGCCATACACAACCACTCCAGACATGTCGGAACGATGAGATAATGACCTTACTCAATGGTGGGATATTGGCCATACACAACTACTCTCCAGACATAATGACCTTACGGACCACGATGAGACTAATGACCTAAAGACCTTACTCAATAGTGGGATAGTGGCCATACACAACTACTCCAGACATATCAGACTGATGAGATAATGACCTTACTCAATGGTGGGATAGTGGCCATACACAACTCCAGACATATCTGACTGATGAGATAATGACCTTACTCAATAGTGGGATAGTGGCCATACACAACTCCAGACATATCTGACTGATGAGATAAAGACCTTACTCAGTGGTGGGATAGTAGCCATACACTACTCCATACATATCTGACTGATGAGATAATGACCTTACCCAACGGTGGGATATTGGCCATACACAACTCCAGACATATCTGACTGATGAGATAATGACCTTACTCAATGGTGGGATAGTGGCCATACACAACTACTCAGACATATCGGACTGATGAGATAATGACCTTACTCAATGGTGGGATGTTGGCCATACACAACTGGCCATATCACTGATGAGATAATGACCTTACTCAGACATATCTGACATGATGATGAGAAAATGACCTTACTCAATGATGGGATATTGGCCATACACAAGTACTCCAGACATGTCGGAATGATGAGATAATGACCTTACTCAATGGTGGGATATTGGCCATACACAACCACTCCAGACATGTCGGAATGATGAGATAATGACCTTACTCAATGATGGGATAGTGGACATACGCTACTCCAGACATATTGGAATGGTGGGATAGTGGATTGTTCAACCCTGAATGACCAGCGTGCATCGTTGTGGGGCATAATTGTAATACTAAAAACTCCCAGGAGTAAAGCTGCCAAACAAGCTGATTGTAACACTCTACGTCTGTAGGACACCACAACGTCTGTAGGACACCAAAACGTCTGTAGGACACCACAACGACTATAGGAGACCCAACGTTTGTTGGACACCATAACGTTTGTAGGACACCGCAACGTCTGTAGGACACCACAACGACTGTAGGACACCACAACGACCGTAGGACACCAGAACGTCTGTAGGACACCACAACGTCTGAAGGACACCAGAACGTCTGTAGGACACCACAACGTTTGTTGGACACCACAACGTCTGTAGGACACCACAACGACTGTAGGACACCACAACGTCTGTAGGACACCACAACGTCTGTAGGACACCACAACGTAGGACACCACAACGTCTGTAGGACACCACAACGACCGTAGGACACCACCACGACCGTAGGACACCACAACGTCTGTAGGACACCACAACGTATGTAGTACACCACAACGTCTGTTGGACACCCAACGTCTGTAGGACACCCAACGTCTGTAGGACACCACAACGGCTGTAGGACACCACAACGTCTGCAGGACACCACAACGTCTGTTGGACACCCAACGTCTGCAGGACACCAGAACGACTGTAGGACACCACAACGTCTGTAGGACACCACGTCTGTAGGACACCACAACGTCTGTTGCGCACCCAACGTCTGCAGGACACCACAACGACTGTAGGCCACCACAACGACTGTAGGACACCACAACGTCTGTAGGACACCACAATAATACATGCAGGACAATGATTCAAGGAGACAATCGGCAATATTTATCAGACTCAAATTAACAACTGCCTAGCTGCAACCCATTTTCGTCACGGGGATATGGCTGAAATATTGCCGATGTGATATAAAATCTAAACTCACTCACCCATTTTCGTCCGATTCGGTAGATGTACCAAAATAACCCTGCTTAGTTTGAATTAGTTTGAAATAAAACTGTATTCAGTGTCTCTATGGAGGAACTGGAAGGTGTGCTTGAGGAACAAAGCTATTGGACCATCACCTACAGCAGGATCATCTTGCAGGAACTGATTCTGTCAAATACAGGAAGGGCTTGGCGAG